ATTCCCCGCGCGGCGCGGTCGCCGCACTGCTCTGGGCCCCCCCCCCCTGACGCGCGCTCCCCCTCGGGGCCCTGGCACCCACGGGGACTTCTCGTCCGAGGAGGAGGAGGAGGAGGAGAAGGAGGAGGAGCAGGAGGAGGAGGAGGAGGAGGAGGAGGAGGAGGAGGAGGAGGGACCCTCCAGGGTCCCAAGACCGTGCGGTGCGGTGAGGTCAGGGACTTTCCGAGGGCGTCGCGCGGCCCGTTAGCGCACGGGTGTTTTTTTTGGGGGGGCCCCCCAGGGAGTGAGTGATCGTCCTCCCTCGGCTGCGAGCACAGCGAGGTGGGGCCTGTGCGGCGGCCTCCTGCTGAGGCGGGGACTGATCGGAGGGCTTCTCGGAGGGCTTGCAGTCAGAGAACAGCAGTTGGAGGGCCAAGCCTATCTGCTTCTGGAAGACCGACATCAGTTGCCGATGCCAACGCCGTGCTCACGTCGTAGCCCAAAAGCGTCTATGGACACATTCGGTGCCGTGGCGTCCATCGACACTTTCAGGGTGGATATGTCTATGGACAACGTGGGCGTTGCGTTCGGCGCGGTGCAAGGTCGAAGAAAGGGTGAGTCTGTCTACGGCACGTTTCTGTTCTAGAGCAGGTCCCACATGGTACTCTAAAACAGCAGGGCTTCTGCAATGCTTCTGCTTTGTTAGAATGCCACCCCTCTCGCACCACCCCCCTCTGGGCGCCGCCAATCGTCCTGCAGTGGCCAAACAAAGTAAGCGCCCGAGCACTTCGGCACGCGCCAATGAGAGGGGTTCTGAGGGAAGGAGGCCACGCCGCTTTTTTCTGCTTTCGGGACCCTTCCCTGACCCCAGGACAATCCCAGGACGATTTACGCTCGGAAGCCCACCCTTCCAGACCTCTCCGAAGAGATGCGGTCGGAGGGTGCGATCCTCCGACCCCGCCTGCGCGGACAACATTGTGATCGTTTTTTTATTCACTGTTTTGCCGATCGGAGCGGGCCCTCGCAGCCGCCCTCCCCCCATGGAGGATATTTTGGCTGTTTTTGGCGCCTGTTTCGAGCAGGTGGAGTCTCTCCCACAGGACACTGTTGCAAGCAGTCGCGTTAAGCAGAGAACCGGAGCCAGATCCCCTCCTCTCCCCCCCTTCGCCCAATGTCGAAACGCCGAATAAAAAACGCTCGCATTTGGGAGGCCTCCAATCCTGGCAAATGCCCTGGGGGGTACCTGTTGCCCTCAGGACGCCTTCGGCTCCCAGCGAGCGACAGCTGCCCATGGGTCCGATTGGCTGGGCTCTCTGCGGGAGCTTCTGCGACCGGGACGTGGGGACGGCCTCCTCCTCCTCCTCCTCCTTCTCCTCCTCTTCCTCCTCTTCCTCCTCCTCCTCCACACACCTTCTCCTCCTCCTCCTCCTCCTCCTCCTCCTCCTCCTCCTCCTCCTCCTCCCCACACCTCCTCCTCCTCCTCCTCCTCCTCCTCCTCCTCCTCCTCCTCCTCCTCCTCACCTCACTCCTCACACCACCTCCTCCTCCTCCTCCTCCTCCTCGTCTTCCTCCCTCCTCCATTCTCGTCCTGCGGCGGCGACGAGGAGCTGCTGGACGACCAGCAGTACCTTGAGAAGCTGGCTGAGATGTGCACGGGAGCTCCAGCCGCCGCCGCCGCCGCCAGTCCTCCTGCCTCGTGCCGCCGCTGCTGCTGGCCTCCTCGCCTCCCACCCCTCCTCTCTCCTCCTGCTCCCCTCTTCCCTCCTCCCCTCCCTTCCTCCCTCCCTCCTTCCTCCTCCCTCCTCCCTCCTTCCCTCCCTCCCTCCCTCCCTCCTCCTTCTTTCCCTCCCTTCCTCCCTCCCTCCCTCCTCCCTCCCTCCCTCACTCCTTCCCTCCCTCCTTCTCTCCTCTTCCTCCCTCCCTCCCTCACTCCTTCCCTCCCTGCCTCCCTCCTTTCCTCCTCCTTCCCTCCCTCCCTCTCCTCTTTCCTCTCCCTCCCTCCCTCCCTCCCTCCCTGCCTCCCTCCCTTCGTTGTGGATACCTCCTCCCATTTCGTGCCACCAGACGTGTCGTCGGGGCGGGATGCATGATCTCGAGGCAAGAGGTCTCAACAATTACACGGAAGGAGCACATTGGATTCTCGCCTCGGTACCGCGCACGTTCGCCGTGAACATTTCCAGCAACATGTGATCGTTTTCTTATTCATTGTTTTGTCGATCGGCGCGGGCCCTCGCCCCCCCCTCCCCCCCATGGAGTAGATCTTGGCTGTTTTTGGCGCCTGTTTCGAGCAGGTGGAGTCTCCCCCATGGGACGCACTTGTGCAAGCAGTCGCATTGCAGTGGTCCAGGGCCAGAACCCCCCCCCTTCCGCTCAATGTCGGACACCCGAATCAGAAAACGTTCACCATGTCCAGCACCTGGATTGAGGCCAGGGCGTTTTCAGAATTGAGTTCTCGCTAGCTTCCGCCTTCGCCAGATTTTGCGAGGCAGGAGTAAACATTGTACCGATGATGGGCCTCGTC